GGCCCCACGGTGTGAAAACATCACGGGGTCGGGGGGTATGCGTTGCCTTATACGAGATCGTCAGGTTGGTGTCCGGCTGGTGCTTGTTTTGGTGTCCCGCTTGTGCCCAGTTCAGATTTTGAGATGAACGTTGAGCTTAAGTTGATTGAGTTGGTCGTAGATGGCTACAGCACGCGCGTGCTTTATAGACACAATCAACGCTGTGATTCCATACGTGTTTCCACGGCCACCCACGCAAAACAACGTTCAAGAACTCATCACCACGTTCAACCACTTAGAAGTGCGACAGCACGTAATCCACGGTTAACAGGTTCGTAGACATTGTATCGTTAGTTTGGCTTGTTGTAAGCGTGGTGGTTTGCATGGACAATTACAACCCTTTCGACATGAATTATAGAATACAGAAACAACACCTAGCTCAACATACATGCACATGTTGTTTTGCGGTGCTTTACCACCGCGTGGTAACGTTTTGAAGCACTGCAGCGTGATTGGCATTATTTACCCTGATATCGGCGACGCCGGTGTGAGTGAGGGAAGAATCAAGTGTGTTGAGCAGTTGTTATGTTTCGCAGCCCTGAGCATTAAACATAACAACACATACGTTAAGTCTATACGCTGTTGTCACCGCAGCTCTGAGCATGAAAAGGACAGAACGTTATTTGGATTGTCTTTCGGCTCCACATGTCCCAACGTTGAAACCATGGATTGGCCGAGATGTATCTATGTTCGCTGCGTCGCGGGCTTCCTCGTTCATTTGTTCCATGGGGTCGTGTTCTGATTGTCGCCGCTATGCCACTACACGGGTGTATCTACTGTTGTTGTTTGTCGTTTGCATGTTGTTTTCTCTTTCGGCGCGGGAAAGAAGGAGGCGCGGTGCGATGCGGGATGGAGGGGGAGCAAGCGGAGTTTTGTTATTCATTTTTTCGGCGGGGCGACAGGGCAATTTTGACGGGGCGATGGCTGGCGCGACCGCCAAGCTGCAGCTCGCGCGTGATCGTTTCCCCCCCCTCCTCCACCTTCGTGCGACGGTTGGTCTGTAACTTTGCTCAGCGCGGTTGGGTGAACAACCAACTGTTTGCGGGCACAACCTGGCGTTTGATCTCTCTCACATGATCGAGCGTTTGGTTTGCCTTTCGTAGCAACTGGCATTGAAACTTTTCAATCGCGGTATTAATTATCCCTTGATCAGAAAGAGCGTGTTCTACCGCTGCTGGCGGAAAACTGGGGGTGTCACTGGGGGTTCCCTCCCCCCCCTCGAAAACCCGGGGGGGGTCACTACCGGTTCGAACCCCTCCCCCCCCCCAGTCCATCATGCAAAGGGGGGGCGGGTCACTACCGGTTCGAACCCCCTCCCCCCCTCGAAAACCAGGGGGGGGGTCACTACCGGTTCGAACCCCCCCCCCTCCCCCCTCGCCGCCGGCGAACGATTGCCGCACCTCGGGACAGTTGGACAATAGTGGGGATGCTGGGACAGAAGTGGAAACGGTGGTGGTGGGGACAGTAGTGCGGGGACAGTGGGACAGTGGTGCGGACAGTGGTGGGGACGGTGGTGGTGGGGACAGTGGTGAAGGGACAGCGGGACGGTGCTGGGGACAGTGGGACAGTGGTGGGGACGGTAGTGGTGGGGACAGTGGTGAAGGCGGCGGTGAAGACAGTGGTGGGACAGTAGTACAGTGGGGAAAGTGGTGGGGACAGTGTGGACAGCGGGACAGTGATGGGGACAGTGGGGGCGGTGGGACAGCACAGTGGGACAGCGGCGGGGACAGTGGGACAGTGGTGCATGCAGTGGGGACAGTGGGACAGTGGTGGGGACCGTGGGGAAGGTGGGGAGAGTGGGACCGTGGTGGGACAATGGTGGGGAGAGTGGGGACAGTCAGACACTGGTGGGGGCACTGGTGGGGACAGCGGGGACAATGGTGGGAACAGTGGGGACAGTGGGACAGTGGTGGGGACGGTGGTGGTGGTGGTGGGGACAGTGGTGTGGGGACAGTGGTGTGGGGACAGTGGGCATGTGGTGGAAACGGTGGGACAGTGGGGGGTACAGTGGTTGTGGGGACAGTGGTGAGGGCGGTGGCGAGGACGGCGGTGGGACGATGGACAGAGGTACAGTGGGGACAGTGGTGGGGACAGTGGTGGGGACAGTGGGGACAGTGGTGGGAACAGTGGGACAGCTCAGTGGGACAGCGGCGGGGACAGTGGGACAGTAAGGACAGTGGGACAGTGGTGGGGGCCGTGGAGAGTGGGGGAGTGGAACCGTGGTGGGAACAGTGGTGGGGACAGTGGGCACAGTGCGACAGTGGTGGGGGCACTGGTGGGACAGTGGGGACGGTGGTGGGAACAGCGGGGACAGTGGTGGTGACAGTGGCGCTGGGGACAGCAGTGGGGGATGTGGTGCGGACGGTGGTAGGGACCCGGGAGTCGCTTGCTGGCGGTGAGCGTTAGGGGGGGGAGGGGTTCGAACCGGCAGTGACCCCCCCCTGGTTTTCTGGAGGGGGGGTGGGAGGCTCGAACCGGTAGTGACCCCCCCCCTCGGTTTTTTGGAGGGGGGGGGGAGGGGTTCGAACCAGTAGTGACCCCCCCTCGTTTTCCGGAGGGAGGGGGAAGGGGGGGTTCGAACCAGTAGTGACCCCCCTGGTTTTCCGGAGGGGGTGGGGGGGGTAGGGGAGGGGGGAGGTTTTGCCGGGGGAGTGGGGGGGTCCAGCAGGGGGGGGGGGATTTTCGGAAGGGGGGGGGGACTCCCGGGCTCCGGAGGAAGAGGGGAAGGGAATTTTCCACAGTAAAGCGGCGGTGGATCACGCTCTTTCCTTGATCAAGAAATTTTCACTTCTTCACACAGTATTTGGGTGATGCCTATGCCATTGCCCCTTCTATATGACGGTGACGCCTAAACAGCGTGTGATCACGGCAGCGACGCGCACCGTTGCGGAGGAAGGTATCTCTGGTTTGATATGGAGTCGTGCTTGCTCCAACCATGAGAAGTTTTCTCACTCCTGCTCCCGCTGTTCCCCTTGCTGAAGTTCACCCTGCGCTTCCTCGGAGGACACATTCAACCCCGCTTTCAAGCCATACCACGTCATATCAACGTCTCTTTTCCTTCACTCCGCTCCATCTGGCGGTCATTTAGGTATGGATCGGTGGCGGTGGTGCCCCCCAAAGCTGTGAGTGTTGCATTCCAGCCTGACTTCCCAGGGATTTGACGCTACGATTTTCTCTCGACACGTGAGGCCTTCTGAGCTCCTGGCCTGTTCCTCTCGCAGGCCGTTTTGTTGTGTTGACGGCCTTGTGCCTCCGAAGGTGGAGGTGGCATCCCAGAGGAGCGAGAGAACCTGGCCGTCTCGGCCTCTTCGCGGCGTCGGGGCACCGGGGCGCGCCCCACCCCCGCCGGAAGAAAAGTGGTTATTGTTATGCTGACGTCGGAAGCACTATGACTCACGGATCGCGTGTTTCACAACATAGCTGAGTGGGGCCTGTCGCCAGACCTGTGTTGCCAGATTCAGATGTTGTGCGGGGAGGGGGGAGGGCTTCCCCCCAGGACCACAGCGCTCTGGAGGCCCAGAGGTCCCAGGAGGTCTCCGGAGGCCGACGGAGATCTCAACAGGGCGGGGCGCGTCCACCAACCTCAACCCCCGATCAAGTCGAGATAATCAAGCCGGGCGGTCAACGCGTATCGATGCGGTTGCTTGTCAGCATCGGGCCGGCGTTTCGGCCTCTGCGGGATTTTATGAGCCAAGTTGGCGATTGACGATGTGCATGCAGAGGGGTATGGAAGCATTGCCCCAATACGTGTGCAGCAGCGACACTGATAGCGCTGTCTTGGCTTCCATTTCAGGGTAATCAAATTCTGTAGACAGTCATTTCTGCAGATCCTTCATTCTGACATCCCCCAAAGGAACATACCCTTCTCCAGCTACACGTGTTTCTTGCAGTGCGGTGTCAGGCCTGCTCGCCTTGCCCTGCCTGCTAGAACTACCTGGCAGGCGCACCCCCGAGAGGTCAGATGTGCGGGCCTCGGGGCATGTCAGCGCCCAGGGCCAAAAAGGCCATGGAAGCCCTGCCCGACACGTGCGCAGATAACGTCCCCCGGCGATAACGAGGCGTGGCCAGGGAGGGGAGGGAGCCGATATCGTCGCAACTCGCGGCGGCGCCGTCAGGGAGTGCTCAGGAATGGCTGAGTCCTAGACGGCGCCGGCGCGAATTGTGACGTAACCATTGGGAGGAGTTGGGGGGGAGTGGGGGGGGGGGCGGGGCCTGTCACGGGCTTCATCGAGAATAGTAAGAGTGATAGGCTCCTTTCCATTCTGACGTCCTCCAAAAGAACATGGCTCTCTTCAGCCGCTCGCGTTTTTTGTAGCGAGCATGACAGGCCCACCCCCGAGAGGTCAGAGGTGCAGGCCTCGGGGCCTGCTAGCGCCCAGGGCCAAAAAGCAGATTGAAGCCTTGCCCCACGCGTGCCCAGATCTTGAGATCCTGTTTTCGTCCCCTGGCGATAGCAGTCGTGACCGGGGGGGGGAGAGCGCCAGTAACGTCGCGACTCGTGGCGGCACCATCAGGGAATACCCAGGAAGGGCTGATTCCCAGATAGTGCCGGCGCGAATCGTGACGTGACAAAAGGGGGGGGGAGTGGGGGGGGGCGGTGCCGGTCACGGGAGGTATCGCGAATAATAAAAGAGCGGATTTTTTCCCATTCTGACATAAGACCCGCGAGGCGGAGCGACACGCTATCCGCTTGCACGGCATCGCGGGTCGTCGGGCCGCCGCAGCGATTTTCTAAGCAACAGTTCTTGCCCGTAACTAGTTTCTGTAGACGGCCAGTCCTCGAGATCCCTCATTCTGACATTTGGTTGTGAGCCCTGTCTTCTCACGTTGTATAACTGCCCGCATTTCCGCCCCTACCTGCCCGCCTGTCTCACACTATTTCTGACGCGCTCGCTTGCGGAGGCTGCTGTCGCTGGAGTGTCCGATCAAAGAAATCCCTCCATCCTGACATCCCCCCCGAGGAATATGGCCCTCTTCAGCCGCACGCAGGAGTTCGACTCCTTCAAGACGAGGGCCCTGCTGAGGTGCGCCCACCACCGCGCACCCACCGGCCCAACACCTCCGCGCAGACGCGTCGGTGGTCCTGGTCGCCCTGGCACGACCAGCGACCGCGGGCCCAGGCACGACAGGTTTCGGGGAGGGGGGGAGGGGGACAGGGGAAAACACCCCCTCGCGTCGCAAGAATAATCGCGACGCTTTGTCAAGACTTGTATCTATGAGTGCATTAATGCATGCATGTACGTGTGTATTTATATACACAGATGTGTATATATGCATGTATGTATGCAGGCATGCATGTATGTATGCATACATGCTTGTATGTATGTACGTACGTACGTATGTATGGATGTATGTATGTATGTATGTATGTATGTATCTTAGAATGTATGGATGTATGAATGTATGGATGTATGAATGTATGAACGTATGAATGTATGAATGTATGAATGTATGTATGTCGGAGGTTGGGGGGTGAGATCGAAGTGGAACGGAGAGCCCCCCACCGGGAAATCGGTTTTGGTTTCGTGTTCGTGTCGTGCGTGCGGGCGAGGCGAAGCTGCGTGCGCGGGCGAGAGGAATTCATTTTGCTGTCGCTAGTAGTTCGCCAACATAAATGTTTCCCCCGCCGGCGCGTGTCAAGCGGTGGCCCGCATTGTCCCGTCGGTTGCCCGCCGTTGTCCTGTCTGTCGCTAGTGGTTCGCCAACATAAATGTTTCCCCCGCCAGCGCGTGTCAAGCGGTAGCCCGCATTGTCCCGTCGGTTGCCCGCCGTTGTCCTGTCTGTCGCTAGTGGTTCGCCAACATAAATGTTTCCCCCGCCGGCGCGTGTCAAGCGGTGGCCCGCATTGTCTCGTCGGTTGCCCGCCGTTGTCCTGTCTGTCGCTAGTGGTTCGCCAACATAAATGTTTCCCCCGCCGGCGCGTGTCAAGCGGTGGCCCGCATTGTCCCGTCGGTTGTCCGCCGTTGTCCTGTCTGTCGCTAGTGTTTCGCCAACATAAATGTTTCCCCCGCCGGCGCGTGTCATGCGGTGGCCCGCATTGTCTCGTCGGTCGCCCGCCGTTGTCCTGTCTGTCGCTAGTGGTTCGCCAATATAAGTGTTTCCCCCGCCGGCGCGTGTCAAGCGGTAGCCCGCATTGTCCCGTTGGTTGCCCGCCGTTGTCCTGTCTGTCGCTAGTGGTTCGCCAACATAAATGTTTCCCCCGCCGGCGCGTGTCAAGCGGTAGCCCGCATTGTCCCGTCGGTTGCCCGCCGTTGTCCTGTCTGTCGCTAGTGGTTCACCAATATAAATGTTTCCCCCGCCGGCGCGTGTCAAGCGGTAGCCCGCATTGTCCCGTCGGTTGCCCGCCGTTGTCCTGTCGTGAGATCGATAGTGAGATCGATAGTGAGATCGATCGTGAAATTGATAGTGACACCGAAAGTGAGATCGATAGTGAGACCGAATGTGAGACCGAATGTTGGATCGATAGTGAGATCGATAGTGAGATCGATAGTGAGATCGATCGTGAAATTGATAGTGGCACCGAAAGTGAGATCGTTTGTGAGATCGAATGTGAAATCGATAGTGGGATCGGTTGTGAGATCGGTTGTGAGATCGATTGTGAGATCGATAGTTAGATCGATTGTGAGATCGATAGTGAGACCGATTATGGGATCGATTGAAAGATCGAGCCCGCATTGTCCCGTCGGTGGCCCGTCGGTGTCCTGTCGTGAGATCGATAGTGAGATCGATCGTGAGATCGATAGTGAGATCGATAGTGACATCGATAGTGAGATCGATGTCACGATCGATCTCACTATCGATGTCATCCACACCATCATCGGCCATCAGCACCACATTCACCACAGTTGTCGTCATGAGCCCCCCCCCTCCCCCCCCCCCCCACACACAACCTCCTTATCACCCGCAGGGTGGTCGTATAGGTAATGTTTGTATGTATGTGTATGTATGTATGTATGTATGTATGTATGTATGTATGTATGTATGTATGTATGTATGTATGTATGTATGTGTGTGTGTGTGTATGTATGTATGTATGTATGTATGTATGTATGTATGCATGTGTGTCTGCATGCATACATGCATGCATGCATGCATGCATGTATGTGTATCTGTATGTACGCTTGCATGTGTGCATGTATGTATACATGCATGTAGTATGTATGTGTGTATGCGTACCATGTTTGTATGGGTGTACGTGTGTCTTTGTTTCAGGTGTGTGTGCACTTCTGTATGTGTGCATATCTGAGTATATAGGCGTCTATGTCAATGTAGTTGTTCATGAGTGTGTATACGAGTATAGATGTGCATCTGTATATTATGTGTGTACATCTGACTACGAATAGATTGGAGATACATGTGTGTGCATGTGTGTATGTACAATGATCCGATTCGGCGAGTCTGATATCGGGAAGCCCGCCGTCGACCCCGCTCCCTTTTCAGACATTCCCCCCTGAGCGCCCCCATCGATGACATTTACGTCATGTTCTTCTCCTGCGTCTCCTTCCCGCCGACCATCGCCTTCAGGACGTCTCCATGGAGCTCTGGCACGGCCCAAGGTCGCCCGAAGATGACGAACATGGCTTCAAGATGGCCCCCAAAGCTCCCTGGACTGGCCACGAAAGGCTTCTGGATGACCCCCACGACAGTTCTGGAGGCCGGAATTGATTGATTGTTTTAGGGTGTTTCGACAGATCCTCATGTTCTGGTTTTTGTTGTGGGTTCCTACCCCCAAAGACGGCCCAAGCGGCCATCCAGATCGCTCCAAGACGACCCAAGAGGACCCAAAGAAGGCCCGAAGGCGGCCCACGAGAGCCTCACAGCAGCCCAAGACGACCCCGAGACGATCCAAGAGCCCGGAAGGCGGCCTCAGAGGTCCCCAAGAGGGAGAACCCGAACTGGCATTTCGAGCTCTCCCCCCCACGATACCCCCCGCTAACCGCCCAGAGGCCCTCGGAACCTCAAAAAGCCTTCCAGAAATGTTCAAGAGACCCCATGAGGCGATTACACTTGAGAAAACCCCAAACAGTGGATGATTTGAAAATTAATACAATGGATCTTGAGATCGACAATGAGATCGATTGAGCAATCGATTGTGAGGACGATTGTGAGGTCGACCGTTGGAAAGGATAATGAAATCGATTCAATGAGATCGACAGTGAGGTCGATCGCGAGATCGCTCATGCGATCTCTAGTGGGATCGCTAGTGAGATCGCTTGTGAGATCGATAGTGAGATCGATGGTGAGATCGATGGTGAGATCGATAGAGAAGTGGGTAATGAGATCGATGGTGAGAAGGATCGAGAAGAAGATGGACCAGGAACCCGGGAACCCGTACACCTCGCGACCCTCCGAAATCGGCCAACCCAGAACCGGGAACCTGGGAACCCAGCCAGCAACCAAAATCGGTGGGACATTTTAGCTAAATCCTTCAACATCCGCGAGGACCCCTTCAGTGCAAGCATTGATTGGGGAATCACTAACTCTCGAGACGCCCTCCAGAGGCCTCGCGAGAGGTTCTTGTTTTTTTCCCCTACCTTATGTTATGCCTTATCCTTATCCTGTTTTCTTTCTCCTCCTCCTCCTCCTGGTCAGCTGGAATGCCCAGGCACTGGTGCATTCGATCATCGTCAAGCGAGACGCCAAACTCTCCATCCTCAAGCCCTACCTCGCCAAGCACTCCCTCATCGCCATTCAGGAGACCCACGGCACATCGCAGATGATTCACAGCCTCATCAACTCCACGGGCGCCAAATACGACGTCTACCACAGTGGCATCCCCGACTCCAATGCGGCGGGCGGCGTCGCCTTCCTCATCCCAAAGTTCCTCCCCTACGACGACCAGGACGACGCCATGCCGATGATCAACTTCTCCGCGGTCATCCCTGGTCGTGTCGCCGAACTGCGTATCCGCGACCCCAGCCTGAAGTACCTCCATATCTACCTCAACATTCATAACCATGATCTCACTGCTGACGACCGAAGACGGATCAAGGCCACGTGGCAAGTGGCACTATGCGAAGCAACCAGCGACCCTGAACACGTTATGTTCTTCATGCTCGGCGATTTCAACATCTCTGAACTACCTGCTCGCAGCCTACTACGTCCTGTCGAAGTGCCTGCTCACGAACGATAACAGTTCCAGCCCACATTCTGGAAGCAGCTCTTCCGACCGCTGGTCGAGATTTGCACTCCGTCCACCACCCACCGTTGCTACGCGAACAACACCGAGTCAAGCATTGACCGCTTCTTCACCTCCTTCCAAGCACATAATCTTACCCACATTGAGACGATCATGGTGGCCGATGACTCACCTCTCGAACGAAAAGGGACTCCCGCCAGTGACCATAAACTCCTTCATGTCCGTTTTCGCCCCCGAGTCCAACGGCCCCATTCTGAACGAGGCATCCCCGCCTTCCTCTTCAACTCCGATTTCTACAAGTTCTTCATCGACAAGCTCACCGCCGACACCGAATACGACACGCTCACGCCCATCATCAAGTGGCGCACGCTGAAAGCCAACATGACGAACGCCGCGAAGGCCACGCGAGATGCTCTTGCGCGACTACCGCCTGAAGTCCTGGCACGCGACCACTTATCGATTTCCAAGGAAGTCAACTCGATGACCATGAGAAGCATCTCCCGCGCGGTCTGGTTCCAGGACATCAAGCTGGCGCGCCTCCTCATCGACGCCACCCACCTGGGCTCCAAGCACCTTCAGATCATCATTGACAACTCCTCCGACATCCCCTCAAGTAATGTTTGCCTGAGCAACGCCAACGCCTTTGCCGATGCCGCTGCTGAAGTTCACGCTGCAGTCGCTGAAGAACGTCGCGCCCTCGCCGCCGCACGTGCCCTGGACGCTTACCAACGTCTACAGCGCCAACAAGGAGACAGGTGGCGGAAACGCGCCAGTGCCACACGCAGACTGGGGGAGCTTTGGAAACCATTCTCCAAGCGTCTGGTGCTCGCTGGCATCCGAATCTCGCAAGGCGACTCTTCCATCATCTCCAAGACGCCATCGGAC